GTCAGGCCCAGTGGCAGGCGAAGGGGCTGCAGGCCTGGGACAAGGTAGCAACACACAGGTGAGGAAGATGGCGCTGCTCTCACTTGGATCTTGTTGGTAGCGAGGGTCAGAAAAAGCATGAGGGAAATACAAAATGTGAGGGGCACCCCGAGTGTCAGTAAGCAAAAGAAATATTTTCATGTGATATTTTGAAAAAAACAAATCAAGGCTGAAACCCGTGATAAACAAAATATGGAACTTTTATATGAAGCCTTTTTTAAAAAAACAAATGAAGCACACAGGCACAGAAGAATCAAGTAATCTGCCCAGGGTCACAAAGCTGGTGAACAATAACGTCAGAAACAGATCCAGAGCCCAAATTCTTCTACCCCCCCCAGTACTGGGTATTGAGTTCAGGCTTTGAACTGAGCTAAATCCTGGCTCTTTTTATTAATTTGAAACAGGGTCTCATGAGGTTGCCCCGGCCGGCCTTAAACTGCCTCCTGCCTCAGCCTCCTAAGCTGCGGGGATGACTGATGTGCGCCACTCTGCCCAGCCAGGGCCCAGAGTTCACCATCACCCTGTCACAGCCCTCACAAACCGCACCCCGTGGGGCGCTTTCTACAGAGTGGGACTACGGGGACATTTACTGCCTTCTCTTTAAAATCTGACAGATTTTCTAAACTTCCTAGAATTACCACACTGTCCTTTTTAATCAGGAAAAAAGAAAGACACCGACTAAAAAGAAAATAAATCCTTGGCCACTATTCTGAATTCAGGACCCCAGCAACAGCACCAGAAGCTGGGGTGATTCCAGGAGCAGGACCAGGGAGCAGGGGCCCAGGCTGGGTAGCCGGGACAGACCTGGGGAGCCCAGGATGCACCCCAGGCTGGGGTTCCTTAAGCACAGGTGGCGGGAGGGACCATGCAAGACAGTTTACACACCACCTACACTGCAACTCTCGCCCCACTGCTCCGTGATGACTCTGCTGACTCCCACCGCCCCCATCTGCTGACTTGATCTTTCAGAGGCTGCAAACCACGCACTCACCATCTTCCCTCCCAGCCCCTCTGGGACGCTAACCTGAGAGCCGAGGAGCAAGGGCAGCCTGAAGATGTCCACTGCAGTATTGTTTACAGTGCTTCCTGTAGAAATCAGTCCACTGGGCCCATCCCCATCAGACGGGAACAACAGACAGTGAGTACGTGTTTTCTGGAGACTAAGAGAGGGAAAAGGCAGGCTCGAAAACTAGATGCCAAACCAGGCCTGGCATCGCACACCTGTAATCCCAGCACTCTGGGAGGCTGAGGCAGGAGAACTGGAAGTCGGAGACCAGCCTGGACAATTGAGTGACTTAGTAAGACACTGTGTCAAAATAAAAATTTAGAAATTGGCCAGGGATTTAGCTCAGTGGTGCTGCTGCCTGCTTTGCAAGCACAAGGTCCCAAATTTGAGCCCCAATACCAAAAAAAAAAAAAAAAATTAAATTAAGAAAAAAACCCTGGAGATATAACTCAGTGTTGCAACAAAACAAAATGAAACAAAAAATATCCCTAATGCCAGCTGTGGTGGCGCACGCCTGTAATCCCAGCCCTCAGGAGGCTGAGGCAGGAGAATCGCTGTGAGTTCAAGACCAGCCTGGGCTACATAGTGAGTTCCAGGTCAGTCTCAACTACATAGTGAGACCTTGTCTCAAAAACAAACCAACCAACCAACAAACAAAAAATATCCCTAATACCACATTATATCAATTAAAAAATACATACACAGATACATCCAGAAAAAAGCCTCAGAGGAAATGCATCTGAATGCCAGCAGTGATTGCCTCTGGGTGATTTTCCTCTCATTTATTTTTGGTGCTGAGCGTTGGACCCAGGGCTCACACGCCAGGCAAGGGCTCTGCCCCCAACTGCTGTCCCCGCTCCTGATTTTTCTAATCTTTCTGTTTTTCTGTTGTTCCAACTCACCCATGATGAACATGCTAGGTTTTTTTTTTTTTTTTAGAATCAGGAGATGTTTTTGTTTGCTTTCCTTTTTTTTTTTTTTTTTAAACCAGAGAAATTGTCTCTGACTAAAAAATTATATATTAAGCTTTAAAGAGTTGCTGTCTTCATGTCAGGTACTTATTTGCCGGATGTTCCTATCTGTTCTAGCCACAACACACAGCTTCTCTACACACTCCCAGTCTACCTCGGAGTCTCAGGGAAGCTTCCCAACGCCTACCTTTCATTACCTCTTCCTTCTCATTGTCTTCCTCTCTCCCATGACTCCTTCCCCTCCCTTAATCTCCCCCATGGAGAGACTGGGCTCTCCCAGAAGCCCCCTGCTCCAAAGTTCCACAGGCTGATCCTCCTCATCCCCACCTATAGCCTCACCTGCCTGCCTCATCAGGTGAGGGTCTCCCAGCCCCAGGGCCTTTGCACATGTCATTCTCTTTACCCGGACTCAATGCAGCTAGCTTCAAGGATTCCTCCTCTCATCTCTATTTAGATACAGAGTATCTGTGAGCTTCCCTTCAGGAAAAAAAGAATATTATAAAGTAGGAGCTATGAAAAGAGGGTGGGTGTGCCAGGGTTGAGGACCACAGCTACGAAGGGACTGCTGACCAGCATTTCTGACCCACACGCTGAACTGGAAGCTCAGAAAAGACATACAGTGAACAGGTGACACCTTCAGGATCACGGCCCCCAGGGGAAGCTGAGCCCTGAGCTCCTCCTAGGTGAGGGCACTGCGCTGCCAGAGGGGGGCCAGGACCTGGCTCTCGCCACAGTCCCCTCTGCCACTGTCCAAAGCTGCCCTGCCTCTGAGGGCCACTGCACCTCACCAGGGCCGTGACTGCTGCGTATGTGTGGGCCCCTCGCTGAGGCTCTGGGGGTCCTGGTCATCCTAGGCCCTGCCACACTCCTCTGCACCTGTCCAGGTCACTCACACCTACCCGGCTTCCAGACTGTGCAAGAGCACAGCCAGGTATCGTGGCCCACACCTGTGATCCCAGCACTCAGGAGGCAGAGGCAGGAGGATCGCCTCAAATTCGAGGCCAACCTGGACTAGGCCGAGAGTTCAAGGTCTACATAGGGAAACCCTGTCTCAAAAAACAAATGAACGAGACTATAAATAACAGGCTGTTAGCAAGCGAAGGACTTGCACATGTCGGTCAGCCCTGCTGGTGTTAACAAGCTTCACTGAAATCGGGCGCTTAATGAAAATAATGAAATTGGGGTGATGGCCCAGGCCCTCCGGCCGGGCCTCCTCTCCTCCACGCCACAGCTAACGCTGACAGCAGGAACTTAAGCTGCCGGTGACAGCGAGCCCGCCCCCGTCCTCCGCGGGGCCGCGTCCCCACCCGTGCAGGGGCGGCACCCA